CTATCAATCTATCTATCTATCTATCAATCTATCTATCAATCTATCTATCTATCTATCAATCTATCTATCTATCTATCAATCTATCTATCTATCTATCTATCAATCTATCTATCTATCTATCAATCTATCTATCAATCTATCTATCTATCAATCTATCAATCTCTCTATCTATCTATCAATCTATCTATCAATCTATCTATCTATCAATCTATCTATCTATCTATCAATCTATCTATCTATCTATCAATCTATCTATCTATCTATCAATCTATCTATCAATCTATCTATCTATCTATCAATCTATCTATCTATCAATCTATCTATCTATCAATCTATCTATCAATCGATCTATCTATCTATCAATCTATCTATCTATCTATCAATCTATCTATCTATCAATCTATCTATCTATCTATCAATCTATCAATCTATCAATCTATCAATCTATCTATCAATCTATCTATCTATCTATCAATCTATCTATCTATCAATCTATCTATTAATCTATTAATCTATCTATCTATCAATCTATCTATCTATCAATCTATCTATCTATCAATCTATCTATCTATCTATCAATCTATCTATCAATCTATCTATCTATCAATCTATCTATCAATCTATCAATCTATCTATCTATCTATCAATCTATCTATCTATCAATCAATCTATCTATCTAATCTATCCTATCTAATCTATCTAATCTATCTATCTATCTATCGTTCTATCTATCTATCAATCTATCTATCTATCTATCAATCTATCTATCTATCTATCAATCTATCTATCAATCTATCTATCAATCAATCTATCTATCTATCAATCTATCTATCTATCAATCTATCTATCTATCTATCTATCAATCTATCTATCTATCTATCAATCTATCTATCAATCTATCTATCAATCTATCTATCTATCTATCAATCTATCTATCTATCTATCAATCTATCTATCTATCTATCTAACAATGTATCTATCTATCAATCTATCTATCTATCAATCTATCTATCAATCTATCTATCAATCTATCTATCTATCTATCAATCAATCTATCTATCTATCTATCAATCTATCTATCAATCTATCTATCTATCAATCTATCTATCTATCAATCTATCTATCAATCTATCTATCTATCAATCTATCTATCTATCTATCTATCTTTCTATCTATCTATCTAATCTATCCTATCTAATTTATCTAATCTATCTATCTATCTATCTTTCTTTCTTTCTATCTATCTATCTATCTTTCTATCTATCTATCTATCTATCGTTCTATCTATCTGTCTATCTATCTATCTATCTGTCTATCTATCTATCTGTCTATCTATCTATCTGTCTATCTATCTATCTGTCTATCTATCTATTTATCTGTCTGTCTATCTATCTATCTATCTATCTATCAATCGATCTATATCTATCTATCTATCAATCTATCTATCTATCAATCAATCTATCTATCTATCTATCAATCTATCTATCTATCTATCAATCTATCTATCTATCAATCTATCTATCAATCTATATATCTATCTATCAATCTATCTATCAATCTATCTATTAATCTATCTATCTATCAATCTATCTATCTATCAATCTATCTATCTATCAATCTATCTATCTAATCTATCCTATCTAATCTATCTAATCTATCTATCTATCTATCTTTCTATCTATCTATCTATCAATCTATCTGTCTATCTATCAATCTATCTATCTATCAATCTATCTATCAATCTATCTATCAATCTATCTATCTATCAATCTATCTAATCTATCTATCTATCTATCTTTCTATCTATCTATCTAATCTATCCTATCTAATCTATCTAATCTATCTATCTATCTATCTTTCTTTCTATCTATCTATCTATCTTTCTATCTATCTATCTATCTATCGTTCTATCTATCTGTCTATCTATCTATCTGTCTATCTATCTATCTGTCTATCTATCTATCTGTCTATCTATCTATCTGTCTATCTATCTATTTATCTGTCTGTCTATCTATCTATCTATCTGGATATGTATAGATGATGTGTATAATTTCTATACATATATGTGTATATATATATATTACATATTACATATACTACATGTACCATACATTACGTATTGTATGTTTTTAATGATCTGGACTGATGTACATGCATATACTGCATGCTGATGTACATGATACATTTTGATATACAAACATCGGTGTACAAACATACATTTTTAAAATTCAGGAGATATACAGTGAATATATACAATGTTGTTATATGATGTCTGTACATATCTTCAACAAATATCTGCAGACACATCCAACCAACCACAAAACACTTGTAGGATATGAACCAAGCATCACAAACTGAACGTCATCCTTGACTGTGTCACTTGGAAAAATCTTGCAGTACTTCCCTCACATTCCAGACATTACTTGGGTGTGACTATAAAAACAGGTTAAACTGGCTAGATAAGGAGCCACGTCGGCATATTTGAAACCTTGCAGGATCCCAGTTGAAGGCTCGCCTGACGGCCAAGTTGCACATTCAGCTCACCATCTGTAACAATCAGAAGGTCCTTGAAGCAACTTCTGTGGCCAATTCCAGTGGCTGACGCTGTCCAAAATGGGTCGAACTCGAAGTGTACTAAAGGACTCATCAAATTAGTAAAATGTGGGTCATAGACCATCTCATCGTATCCCAATTTTGAGATAATTATCCTGAGCCACGGCATATCTGATATAGTCAAATATAGGGGGAAACTTATTGGGGATGTATCACTGGCGAACTCGAGCAGCGGCTCTGACGGATTTTTGCTTTTGGCGAACGAGAGCAGTGGCCCCGACAGAAAAAGATTCCTCCAAAGCATTCAAGTGAAACATATTTCAATGATGCCAGGTTATGACTATATAGTATATGCCAACTAGTACAGCAAACTATATTACCTATATTACCACATATATCTATGTATATGTATATATGTATATGTACATACATATGTATTATATATCTATACAACGAACATATCTTCATATTGCATAGCCTTTATCGACAAATTCTCTCCCCATGCTCCAAAATCCATGGCGCCAAGGCACTGCATTTTGCCAGGTTGGCTGCTCGAGTTTCTTCGCCGCTTCTGCCAGAGCATCTTCCAAATATGTCCCGCCGCCGAAGCTTTGCCGAAGGAATTTCAGAACTTTCCTCTGGTGCGTGACGGTGCGTGGATTCGATATATGTATGGCTATTATATATATATAGATATATTTAAATATATATATATATATTTATATATAATATATATTATATATAACATATATATATACACACACTGTATGTATAGAATCAATGTATGATCTATATCTATGTAGATAGATATGCCTGAAAACAAATCAACTCTTTGAAAAGATGAACCAGCATTTGCCCGCCAAGATAGTGATGTTTTAACCTTGCAACAGGGTATCGCACTTTCCCCTGAAAATCCCTCCGTTCCTGAGACCATCTTGGCTCAAGTCCAGTTCCAGCTCATTCCTGGGGAGCGATGGAGGCCACAAATGGGATGAGGTTAACAGGTGGAACATATCCACCTCGTCAAACTGCAATCCTGAACTGAACCATCCTTATGTCGTAGAAGTTGACATTTTTCCATATAAATCATATAAACATATATAAACGCCAAGTCCATGTCGGTCCATTGATTGGTCTCCAGCCGGGCTGCAGGTTCCCAGCCCCAGCAAAGGCATACAAATAGCACGGCCGCCGCTGGCGGTGTGCTTGCCTGGGGCAGCTTACCGAGATAGGAAGCTGAGTCCCGGTGATTTTACGCATGATTTTAGGCTTACCTCACAACTGGAGGGATTTGGAAATAGAAACCTCCAATTGAATGGCTGGTTGTAAAGCACTAGCATTCCACCAACAAACTCCGTGTCCAATAGTCCCAACAAAAAGAGATGCTTTTGCCTGTAAAAAGTGATAGTCCATAACAATAAAATAACAACCACCATGCATTTTTTTCAGGTCACCATTGGCAGTCCGTTGGGCCTGACACATTCCACCACTAGGGCTTTGCTGAGAAGTTCGCGATCGCCCATCATGCTGCCGCTGGTGTCTAAGCACCTCAGTTGCGATTCGTGGATTTTTCGGTTCTTGGAGCCGTCCACAAAATGGAAACCCCAACAACATGGGGATAAGAATAGACCAACAAATATCTACAAAATGAGCGGAAGATGTGGGATTTGTGACACAATATAGTCACAATAGTCAAGGGGGATATGAGTTGGGAATATCGTCAACAAATAGGATCGACAAAATTTGCAATACGACTACACCAACAAGAATGTTAGAATGTTCCTGTTTGCTTTCAGTGCCAGCACTTCTCGTCTGTTGCCAAAGGCGCACGATGAGAGGACCTGCTTTCCCCAGGGGCCTAATCTCCGACCTGCCGCCGTGGTAAGGTCGAAGCACTTGGAGAAGCACTTGGAGAAATATGGTGAACCACACACATATTTACATCTTGTCTCAGATTCCTCCATTTGTAACATGGATTAACATGGTATGTCCAACTGGTTCCAGCCTTCCTGTGGTTTTGGAGTCATCTTGTAACCAGGAGCTGCGATCGTAGCATAGCAAGGATTGCTCAATGCGTCGAGCGTGATGCAAAGTACGAAGCCTGGAACATCGAAACACAACAATACAACTGGGGTTTATTCCAGGGCTCATATTCATTCTACCACTGCATTGATAGATCCATTTGGAAGTTTGTATGGGTTATCACATTGGCTGTACAAGATTATTGAACAGATACCAACTGGAATTCAGCAACTAAATTGTACATCTTGAAGAGGCCATATCCAAGAGCAAAATCACATTCTCTTCACGGATTCCTGGAGGTTTCACTCCTGGACTGAGTTGAGCGACACCGCTGTGAAGCGCAACAGTGGCCATGATGATTCTCAAAAATCATTATCATTGTCATACCGAATGATGTCATATCTTTTCTTACCATTGTCCTTTATTGTGATTAGCTTTTATGGATAATGGACATGATGCAAGAGTGGAAATGACGGACATTTCTCCTCTAAACATCAACGATCAATGGATATCAATGGTCCATAAATTCATTAAATATCAATTGATACCCACTTCAGAAATGATCTCAAGTGTGTATATACATGTATATACAATATATATATCCTTAATATATCATTAATATATCATTCATATATCATTAATATTCCATGAATTGTCATATGAATTGCCATGATTCATGCCATGATTTACGCCGAGATGCGTGGGACTCTTGGCCGCCAACAACTGCGCTTCACTTGGCAGCATGGTGTCCCAGTTGCCTGGACCAGAAAAACTTTGAAAAACTTTGGAAACATCGTCATAATCATAATCATAATCATAGTCATAATCATAATCATAATCTGGTTGGTGGTTTAAACCCTACCCCTCTGAAAAATATGAGTCAGTTGGGATGATTCTTCCCAATGTATGGAAAAATAAAAAATGTTCCAAACCACCAACCAGTAATATATATATATCATAATCTAGGGTTAGAAGAATCTGGTGCAACTGCAAACATCTCTGAAAATCTTATAGCACCAACATGCAAAAAAAATGCACCAATCTACATGCCAATTGAGAACTCCCACAAGACTTCCACAACTTTTCCCCAGTTGCGCCTGACAACGTAACTCCTGTGGCTTCAGCAGGGGCAGCAGGAGAGCGAATCACGCCTTCGGGACCAGATTCTTGCCAAATCTCCTATGACGGGGATGGGTAGGGGAATAGGGAAACCATTGGTGTTTTATGTGTTTTATGATACCACGATACCACTGGGGATGGCTATGGCATTATGGGGATGGGTTGATTTCTTGATTTCCGCAGCCTTTTTGGAACATGGCATCCAAAATTAGCTGGATCTCCTGCCGAATCGACCGTGTATCAATCCGTACTTCGTGGCTTGATACCCCCTGAATCCAATGTTTGGACCTTATTAATTGCATGGACTCAACGCCATAAACCTCATAAATCCCAAAATAGAATACCAACATAGATACAAGAATTCCCATCAAATCCTATATACATAATTATATATATATATTATAGATACATAATTACATATACACATATATATATACATACATACACATATATACACATAGACATATTATGACATATTCATCATCAGCCGTCGCCACATGGCCCATCCTCCGGCAGCTTGTGCAGCGGCCCCCGCACCGCCGAGCGGCGGCCCAGGTTCCGCAGCAGCTCGCGCAGCTCGGGACTGTCGCGCATGATCTTCGCCAGCTGAAGCAGCTCCTGGGGAGGATAGCACCAAAACAGCTGGAAAAGTCGTGATGAAATCATGAAAACTATCAATGAAAACTATATCACTATGAATCATGGTTTATACATGAAACAAATGAACAAATTAAAGAATACCTGAAGGTCAACGTTTAGTGATTTTAGCAATGGCAAAATAACACTTGAACTGCACAACAACTGGGATCTAGCTCGGAGTTTTGGGGGGTTCAACCCACTTGCAAACTGGTAGAATCGTCTCCCACGCCTCATGTAAGAAACTTAAGTTTTCTTAAAATATATTCCCTTTAACCAATCCAGCATTGATGGTATTTCCAGAATAGCAAAACTTGTCGGACATATCGCCTCGCATTTTTCGCAAAATGGAAACAACTGTTGAAATTCCCAAGAATGGAAAGCATCTTTCAAACCACCATTGCCTCAACTGTGGCTATCGCATCATCCCATCATCCAGTCCTCGTTTTGGTCATCACTGAGACTCTGGTGCCACTGGCCCTGTGCCAAGCCGAACCCATCGCCCTCCATGCCATCCACCATCCCCTGCCCTGCACCGGCGCCGAAAGCGGAGTCTGCGGCGTTGATGGCATCGGCCACGGGGCCCAGTTCTTCGGAGAGTTTCTTCATGAGCTTCTGACCTGGTGGTTGAGCCCAGCCACCCCATTTTGGATCATCACTGCATATATATATATTTATATATATTTATATATATTTATATATATTTATATATATTTATATATATATATATACACATATATATATAGACATGTATATGTTTGTACACATGCATATCTACGTATATGTATATTGCTGTATCCATTTCTTTTGGAGGATTGAAAACAACAGAGTTCAAAAGCACTAACGAGTGACCCACAGCTTCACGAATGTTGCTGGACTGGTTCTCCCCATCCTTTTCCTCATTTTCCTCAGATTCATCGCCATTTTCGCCATTTTCGCCATCTGCAGCTTCGTCGGTAGCATCGCTTTGTTGCTGTTGACCCAGTTGACCCTGTCCCTCTGCAGCTGCATCAGCATCGGCATCACCTGAGTCCGATTTTTGGGCCTCAGCCTCTTCCACTTCCTCATGGAACTGGCCCACGGTTTCCAACAGACTGGCCATCAATGGATCCACCAACTTGGGATATTTCTTCACCAGCTGTGGGAGACCTGGCGACGCTGTGCAAGTCATTCTATTTGTCGTTTATGCAATTTGATCACCATGTCAGGCACCAATCTAGACATCAACATGGTCAGTGAAACCATACCAATTCTTGGAATGTTGATATCACACCCATTTTCATGTGTTTTAGGGAAGACATCGCCATCCAACCTTTGCAATTTCAAAATCACCACTTACTTTTATTGGATATCAATGATGTAAGCAACTTCTTGGGAACTCATCAGGGAAGCATCCACCAAATGCTCAAGATCACCATGCCACCTGTCTGCAAGCCCAAAATTCTTCCAGGTCATCGATGTCTCCAATTTTCTCACCCAAGACCAACTCACCATTGAAAAATACACAAAAATACCTTTCCCATCTTTTCCCCACCTTTCTCTCTCAGCAGATCTTGCCATCCACCGCGCAGCGTGGGTTCCTGTGGCCAATTGGCGCCCTCCTCGTCGCGCCAAATGCGGCCCAGCGACAGCCGCTGGCGCCACGTGGCCACGCCCTCTGCGGCGGAGCTGATGGACTGCGCCAGGGAAGTCGAAGTGGTCGAAGTGGTCGAAGTGTCTACGGCGGCCTGGGATTCACCGGGACCTAAAACATGCTCAACATGGAAAAATTGGTGGAGATTTACCAAGCATATTATACATATGTTCCTTTTTGTCTTGGAAAAGTTGAACTTGAAAATGAAAAATTACAGACTCAGCGGATGCATTTGATTCATTTTGATTCGACAGATTCATGTTGCAGACGTCCACAGAATCCAGGTAGCTTGTTTGTTGATGTTTGTTGTAGCCTTTCAAAGAGGAAACCAAGAGACGAAGTAGCCAATCTACTGACCCAGGAATCCCAGGAATCCCAATCTTCCATAATCTTCCCACCTCCACCGCGTTCATCAGCAGCGGCCACAAGGGCTTCGGAACCTTCGCCAGCGCCATCTGCAGATCCCCCATGGCTCCGTCGGCGTTGCCCCGGTCGCCTTGGACCCGCCGCGCCGTGGCACGGCGGCGGAGGAAAGCCGCCAGCGTGGAGGCGGTGCATACAGCGGTCGAGTACCTGGCTGGTAAAATATGGTCGAAATATGGTAAAAAAATGCTGGATCATAACAATTATAACAGCTTGGAAGCAGAGGTGCAAAGTCAAAGTCTGCAGATTTTTTGAGTTGAAAAAAACAGCATTTCTTTTGCGAAGAAGCGGCGGCTGAAAGTTGCGTTGGCTGCGAATGTGATGGACTGCGCCGAGTGTAGGAGCAAGCTTATGAGCAGTACCTTGCACTTGCTCCAGAATGATAGACACCGCTTGTCATCAAACATCACAGTGGAAATCATCCCATGAAAATAGCCACGAAGAGAATATCAAACAGATTCAAACAGGTTTTTCCCGTTCAACTGGAGATGTTCCTAGCTGCGAATGGAAGATGGGCTCGAGGGAGAGAATCTCAACGACTCCATGGCAACTCGACGAAATCTGATGGCGATCTGGATCAGTTCACTTAGCACAAATAGCACAAATAGCACAAATAGATACAAATAGCACAATGATAGCACTTGGTTTTCACATCAAAATAGCTGGCTTGGTGTGAATCGTGTCTCAAAAACTTTGACTCCCTGAGTAAATTCACCTTTGGGTTGGCTGCAGGAAACATGGCGAATGTGAGATGGAACAACTTGCGGATCACCACATGAGAATCTGCACTAAAGGCCAAACTCAAGCATCAAGAGCTGCGGTGCACAGAGCTTGCACTTGGAGACACAGCGACAGCAACTGCTTGTCCGCACACTGTGTTTTACGCCCAGCCTGCAAACAAATCAAGTCCTTGGCTTGGAAACAAAGTGGTGCAAAACTCAAACTCCTGTTGGATTGTTTTGCTGGTAAATCGTTCAATGCATTGTCGAAAACAGCACCTACGATTCAAGACCAAGAACATTCAAGCATGTGGATGGTTCAGTGTCTGTGACAGCATCCACAAGCAAGGGACTATGGGGCTATAATCGGTGCCTGAATCGATCCACGCTTGCTTGATCACATGTATAAATCCATGAAATCAACCAATATCCCCATGAAACCAGCAACCAAACCATCAACAATTCACCATGACTAATCATTAATGAATAGTTATCCCCATGAATATCACCATTCAGTTTACCCCTACAGTAACTGTGTCACCGTGAACGTGAGTGCCCAGCTGTTCGATACACCAAGATCTGACGCTTCACCTTTGCCAGACGCTGCTGTCCTTGGCGCCACGTTTTTATGGTTTCCCTTGGCTGGGAACTCATCAAATCCTGGGGAATGATCCAATTGATCTCATCAATAACTTAAATCAACAGGGATAAGCCATGATAAGCCAATAGGCCCAATAGGCATAGGATTCTTATGGATTCTTCAATCATGGCTGACCTGAGCTCCCAGCCCGCTGGGCTTTGGTCGGTCATCATCTCTGCAACGGCGTAGGACATCACGTTCACCACTCCTTTGGGGGCCTGCCGCGCTGAGGCACCGGAGCAATGGAAACAAGCGCAGATGGACCGGTCGTTCCTAGAATTGACCACTCAATTTCTTGGGTCATTCGATTTTGACCCATAGCCAGAGATGCAATTTCAAAGAAATAAAGGGCATAGCACGTCGATCAATTTGCACCTCCTGTTGTTGCTCCCTCGAAGCTGTCAAATACCTGCAGAATTTATCGCAGAAGAAAGGCAGAATTACACGTTGCGATCATTGTGATCATGTCTTATTTTTACTCATTTGCCATTGATTAAATCAATCAACAGTTCTCAAAGAGAGTGCCCAGCCTCACTGCAGCACCCTTAGCCAGTGAGACAGGTCTGCTCTGATCCAAGTGCGTCTTGTTGGATTTGTTGCAACCTGATATTCGCGGTTACTCTTTCGTTATCTTTCGTTCATATGTTTTCCATCCTTATCTCCGTTTCAAAGCGGATACATTAGGATGCCGGCAGCCACATCCTGCACAAGTGCAAAGAACAACCAATGCTATGCAGATCTATGGAGCAAAAACAAGGCGTCTCTCCTTGGAGACATTCTCGGCGTGGACAAAATTTCGCACTTCCAGCTTGGTGCGCAAATGGAACTGACCTCGGAACGGGAATGAAACGATCCAGTGATGCCATGGTTGGATGCCCCTGAGTACTCTATACCCAATCTTCTATGTGATTAGCTGCTCTACATAAATAGCAAATGCATCATTTGTATATACAGATGCTAGATCTATAATCTATATGTTATAAGCGATAAGTTATAAATAGTTATAAGTTATAACCATATCAAGAAAAAACCAAGTGTTTTTTTCCGGTACACCCATGTTTTTTGGGCATCAACCCATCAGACTATTAGCCGTCCAAGTGGCCATCGTCGCAGCTCAAGTGCTTCAAATCTCTCAGCTCGACCATCCCATCAGGGCGGCTCTGCAACCTGCTTGAAAAACGCATTGATTATCCAAGGGATTAAAAAAAGACATCCGAAAAATACTGGCAATCTCGGAAGCCAACTTTCTTTGAGAGGCGATCAAAAAAAAACCGGAGATGCAGATTGCTTTACATCATCCACTCTTGGGGCCAATCAAACTTTGAATCCTGCAGCGTTTCTTATTTAGTTAAAGATTTGAAATCTCTGAAACCCTCTGAAACCCAGACTTGCAGAGTACATTCCACTAAACAGAGGTAAATCATGGTGAATCACCTATTAATAGGCCATTTTCCATAGCTATCTTAGTTTACTGAATAGCTGGGCAATGCTGGGCATGTTGAGGCCTGAGGCCCAAGCTTTGTCAATGCAGACTGGATTCGCCCAAGGCCCTGCAAATCTTCCCAAGTGAAGCGGCAATTCTGAAGCGCCTGGCCGAATCATAGTTCCATAGTGGGATGATTCCAAAAAAGAACCAATCATCATCCAATGAAAAACGGTGATTTAATTAATTTAATTATCCCATTGCATGACATTGGAACTATCTAAAATATAAACAACCACGGTCGGACGGCCTGTTCACGCGCGGCCGACTTGGTTTGTCATCTTTGCTGAGTCAGAAGTTTGGCTAGTTGAACAAGAAGTCAGCTAACATCCCCCCCACCCCAGCGTGGCGTAGCATCAACAACGTGAGCAAGTTACATGGAACGTTAACATCCCCCCCCTGTACCATCAGTTACATCAGTTGTTCCTGCCCCCCCCCCTCCCCCCCCCAGGGCAGCATTGTAGAGAAGCAGAAAACACTGTAAAAAACAGTACAAAATGCACATTCAGCAGTGTGTGTGTGCGCGTGAACACCCCGTCGGAGGGAACAACCATATCTCTCTCTATATATATACATACATAACATAATATAACATATACATAATATATATATATATATACCTATGTGTGTATGCATATAAATCACCAAGCATTTGGTAACACGCCATTCTGACAAGCGAAATGGCGTTGTCGCCAGGCCTCCACTCGCCAAGGGCCTTTGTCCTGAGGTGTCCATAGGGGGTTCACTATGGTTAGCACCGATCTACCAGTTGAAGTACTCTTGAAATCCAGAAAAACATGAATAAACATGAATAAATATGAATAAATGATGTAAATGGCATTGGACAATCTGCTAGAAAACCATTTTTTTGTAGATGATTTCAGATTGGGATTTCAGAATCACCATGCAGAAACTCCAGAAATTCCCATGGTTTGATGCACTTGATGCACCTGTGGAGCGTCCGCTCTCTTCAGGATCAAGTCCAGTAGATACCTCGCACGGGTGATGTTCACAGGTGATGTTTTCGGCACCTGGGAAGCCAGTGATGTTTGCCTTCCTTTCATAGCCATAGAAAATCACCATTTTAAATAGGTAAACCATCTATAAATGGGCCATTTCCATGGCTATGTTAAATAACCAGATGGTAAACCTAAAAACAAGTTAGCTCGAAAGCTTCTGTGTTTCGCTTCGTGATCAATATAATGCATGTCAATGTATTCCATTATGTTGCTACAGACCGGAACGGCAAAATGTTTGCGTGGCCCTTGCCGATTGCCCATCTGGGAAGTGCCTGTTGTGCTGCAGCGTGAAGGGTTCAAAGTAGAAGTCCAGCAGCTGTCGCAACTGACTTGCTGCACCTCAATATTTTGAATGCCTAAATTGAAAGAGTGGTACACATAGTCACATGACCATAGTTTTTCTCTCTTCAGCCATTCTGAACCAAAGGTTCACTCAACTCAGGCACTCGGAACATCAAACCAGGCTATCAACCGCAATTTTTACTGCTGACCCCACGAAATCGGAAAAACTGAGGAACCCCTACGGCCTCCCCTGCGCTCTCCCCCTTCCTGGCAAATCAGTGACCAATCGGTGTGGGATGACCAAACCGGTTTTCAAAGTTGGTTTTCAATGGAAAGAACACCAATTAAACTGAAAATTTCATGAATATCAATGGACATAAAGATTGATGGGAAAACAATTGGACACCAAAGAAACACAGATTGATGGAAAAAAATTGGACAACTGGAAAATGTCTACAAAATTGTCCAGCAAGCTCATTGTTCACGTTTCGATACCAGAGAAACTGTCTCGTGACTTCTCCCTGCCTGGCGATCTGTCTCACCTTCGGCAGAAGTGAAGCTCCATGAACGCTCCAAATCTATCCCCAA